TTAGGCTATGGAATCCTGTTCCTGCCATCGTTAATCCGTCTTGGGTTGCAAAGTTGGACCACTGTTTGAAACCAACCGCTGCCGGTTCCGGGAACCAGGGTTCCGGGCAAGGTTCCGGAACTCAGGGTTCCGGGAACCAGGGTTCGGGGCAAGGTTCCAGGTTCCGCAAACCAGACTTTCAAGCAAGGTTCTGGGAACAATGGGTTCTGGCTACCTTTTGGGTTCCGGGACGTCAAGGTTCCGGGATCCCCAGGTTCTCGGCGCCAGGAAGGTTCCGGGCACACTTGGCTTTCGACAAGGTTCCGGGAACCTTACCATGGTTTCGAGTGGTTCTGGAATTACCGGAATACCAATTTGAAACATCCTGGAAACCCAGAGTTTGGGAAACGAGGGTTCCGGCAAGGTTCCAGCAACACTGGGTTCCGACAAGGTTCCGAGAACCACCGCGGATGCGGACCCACAGTTTGGATATACTTCCTGGATTATGCCACAGGTTCCGGACAGGGACAAGGTTGCGGAACAACAATTTTCAAGAAGCCCAGCCCAGGTTCCAGAGAACCAGGGTTCTGGCAAGGTTCCGAGGTTCCGGAAACAACCCAGGGGTCGGATATACGCCGTGGGTTGTACCAAGGTTCATGCTACGGACAGGGTCCCAGAAACCCAATTTTCAAGGAAACCAAGGTTCCAGGACCATATAGGCCCTGTCAACGAGCAATCGCTGACAGGGGGGGGCACAGCGTGACAATAAATCAGCGCGTCTCGGTTCCGCAAACCCAGGGTTCCAATATACGCTGTGGGTTGCGCCAAGGTTCCGGAAACGAGGGTTCCAGGAAGACAAGGTTCCAGGAACACAAGGGATTCCGGAAATCCCCCAGCCAATCTTGGGTGCTTTGTGGCGGGTTCCGCACATGCCGATTCATGTTCGTTTGCTCAGTGGGCGCACAGCGTCGGTCGACTGACCTGTTCTGATGTTGCTGTAAAATCTTCTGTTTGAACTGTTCCGATGTCGCATCTACCAAAGCACATGCCACATTAAGCAATTAAGTTCGATGCCTTGGAACACCTAAATATTGGCAGCAAACCTGTGTGAGGCTTCTCGAAGCCAGGTAGATGATTTTTTGAAGCTAAGTGACCAAACAGCAACACACAATGAAACTTCAGACCCAGTTGTGACACAACAACCAAGTATTGACATGAAACTAATTCTGGAATCATGATGGACAATTTGGCCAAAACCAACTGTTTCACCAATCACTTGCGCAAACTGACCGACGTTGTCCAAGCACGACAAGATAATCCCAAACCAACACACACACGCACACACAATTTTGTAAACACTTAATGACACACCGTGGTCTGCAAATACTGCCATTCGTTTGTAACCAAATGTATGTAAATTCAATTATGCGCGCTTTCTTAAAGAACATGTCTCATCTTGCCTTTGGTCCAAAAGGGGACGGGGCAGGGCGGGCAAAAAATCGCCGAAGAGACTTAGGCTATGGAATCCTGTTCCTGCCATCATTAATCCGTCTTGGGTTGCAAAGTTGGACCACTGTTTGAAACCAACCGCTGTTGGGGATCTACGTCGGCTTATTTTCCCATTTTATTTCCCAAATTATTTTCCTTTTTATTTGCCTTGATTAGATAGCCGCCTTCCCGAAGCCTTGTTTCCCTTATTATCCAGCTTGTTTCACAGGTTCCTTCTTATTTCCCCCTTATGGATGATAAACCCGCCTTCCCGAGGTCTTGTTTCCTTATTCCAGCTTGTTTCCCAGCTTGTTTCCCGGCTTATCTCCCCCGAGAATCGCACATATTTTCACCGAACTCCGGGATTGAGAATAATATCATCTTTTACTTTCATCCGCCGAAATTTTCGGCGCATCCATTTTAACAATTTTATACTGCTTAATTCGAATATTTAGATCCGAATACTTGCACCCCATCGGATGTTTCCTTTATTGTTTTTCAGCATCTAGCGGTGCAACAAAGCAAGCGAAATCAAAAAAATAAACGTAAAGTAGTTTCCGATACGAATTATAGGTATATCTATAATTCCTATCGCTAATATTTTATATATTTTACCCTGCTCCTCAAAATTTAAACCCATCCACCAATTAGGGTCTACGGTAGTGTAATGTTTATACATTTAAATTTAATATGTATATAATTATATATTTTATATTATATATATAATATCAAAAATAATAATAAATAACAATATAATTTATGTTAATACTATATATATATAGTTATATAAGAATTATAAAATATAGAAATCAAATCTATATTATATATATATACATTATATCAAAAAATAATTATGTAATGGTTTGATGCCATCCAGGATTATATAAAATAATAGTATGATAAAATTCGGAATAAAAAATATAAAGAATTTGCTAATAAGGTACGGTATAATAAAGATTTTGCACTAGTTTTCTAACCAGGTCCGAGATAACAAAGAGATTTTGTGAGCTCTCTGACGAAGTTCGGACAATACGAACCGGGAAAACATAGAGAGTTTGCAAGTCTACTGAGAAAAGAGACGACGACGATGTTGGTAATTACCTCCAAATTGCCTAAATTACTTATTTGCAAGTACGAGTACCAGTAGATGCTTGAGTTGAAAACAAAAAAAAATGAGTAGAAAAAAATATAGTAGGCAGTCACATTTACTAACAGTGTTGATTTTTGTCCGAAATTTCTTGCGCGAAAAGCCTGAAGCCTCAGCGAGGGCACAGCCTAGCCAAGTGAAGCACCACCAGACCTGTTGTTCTCATTTCATGGTCTGCGTTTCATGGTCTGGCGATGCGATTGGGTGATCTTCCATGTAATAGAAGTCGCTGCTGGCCTTGCTGTTCATGGGATGGTGCGTCTTTGACTGGGTTTGTGGCTAGTCCCAGTCAAATATGCCGCTCAACTATACCCTGCAAGTTTCTGTAAGTTTCTTTGTATGTTTCCTCCAGTGGACCTTGATGGTGGTTTCTCCTTGGTGGTTTCTTGGTGTGGTTCAGCCCATGGTTCGGTGCATTGCTCTCCCTGTCCTGTCCCTCCAACTGGTTGAATTCCTCAGTGCAGCGCTCTCTCCGCAGAAAAGCCTCCTCATCAGCAGAAATGAGAAGCTGCTCCTGGAAGGCGTCATGTTGGACTGAGTGCGTCTGATGCAAGACTGCCACGGCAAATGGACTCAAAGACTTTTCACAACACTGGTTTTGATCAACAATATAATATATATATATATCTATATACATATATATATATATATACTAATCATCGCTACAATACATGGATATCCCCTGTAAATACAACAGAAGATAATCCCAGTCCAGGCCTGCGGAACTTCTTCTAAGGCGGAAGAGTCGCGCATGGATGGGCTGTACAGCACGCCCTGGCGGACAACCATGGTCAACCCTTGCAACCTTCCAACCTGCGAACACTGGTTGAAAAAAAAATAGCAGCCCAACAGGAGCCGCCTTTCAAATTTCCACTTCCTGAGTGGATTTCTTGAAAGTTCCTGCCTGGGGCAAGTCTTCACAGGCTGTGCCAAGACGATTCAAATGCAGGTACCTGCAAGCCGGCGGTAAAATGAAATGGGCAACCACTGCGTGGGAGAAATCTGTAAGGTGAAAGTCGTTGGCAAAGTTCATCTTTACTTGTTAATACAGCATGGCTGACTGCTCAGAATCAAATGTTGGCTGTGAGCGGTGTTAAAAAATGTGGAGAAATCCATCCTACCGGATAATTTCTTGGATTTCAATCATCCAGAAGAATACAGTACATCTTCTATAAAGGGGAGGATACTCCCGTAACAAACCAACATCATTAGGGTTTTCAACACTGCCTAAGTGAACTTCAGCCCGATCAGCTAACTCGAAAAAGCAGCTATCAGCCAGTTTGGGAGCTACATCCTTCTATAGCACGATGAAATGAAACACCCAATTCCATTTGGGCTAAAATTCAAATGGCTTCCATCTAGCTGAACTCTGCACTTCTAGTTTTGAGCCAAACTAAAGCCAATCGACTCGACCAATGGGCGCACACGTCAGTGCCAAAGCCATCAAGGGACATGATCTTCAAGTCCCCTCCGAAGTATTGCGCATATAGGCGGCTCAAAGTTAGCCCCACTCCAAACCTGACATCATTTCAGCCAAACTAGCAGCTGCCATGGATGCACGAAGTGGTATGTCCGTCATAATTCTTGATGTTGGCGGGATCAAGACCCTATATGACCCTATAATTTATAATTACTACATCTTTCACTCGCCACAAGTGCACCTTGGAATTTGAATGACGAAAGAATATGCATCAAGAAAGCTAGGGCACCCCACCCTGCAAGAACGCCGCCTTGCTTTGGACCTCATAAAACCAAAGCGAATATGTTAGCACTGGATTCAGTTCCAGGATGCCCAGTTCATCTCTGATGTTCACAACACCAGCCACTGTGAAAGTCCACATAGGGTAGCTGCCAGCCCTTGCTACAAATACAGAGGATGCTGAAACCAAAGCCAGGTACAAAATCATGGGAAGCAGTCACCCAAACAAACGCAACACGCTAGAGCGAAGCACAAACGATGCAAACGTCTTGAGACATCCAATCCAAACAAGGTCGGCAGATCTGCTGAGAAAGGGAGACAATAGACATACTGTGGATGGAAGAAATCCTGCACCAGTTAGAATATGGTTTATCCACTTATAATCCTATTACTTACAGTATTTCATAGTTCCCTAACTGTTGCCAACTGGTGCGGGATTTCTTCCATCCACAGTACTAAAGGGCTCTTGAAGAGACATGCCCACCGAAAACAACCGTTTGGATCCGTTTGGCAGAAGTGTTCCAAGATCGAACCACCAAACCAGAATGCTTCATGCACCTTCTTGGACATTCTGAAGAATTAAGGTCGCAACGCTGCAGTGGATTGCAGGCTGAATCGCCCGGCTTGGTTCGAAAGTCATCCCTAACGATGCATGTCATGTCCTTTGGTCTTATATTTTCTGAAACGCCACACAGAATACACAGAAACATGATTGAGTTGCTCCATCTCTCGGCTCCAGCCTTCGACCAGACCAGGGCGTCTTTTCTGGGACGGCACAACCGACGTGTTCAGGGTGGTCCCAGTATGATGGAAACTGCTTGTGCGTCAAAGAATTTTGCATGCAAACGCGTGTAAGCTTGATGTTGGCAAGCGGAAAACAAAAATGTTCGGAAGGGTCTGCAGAAACTCATTACAAACTTGATTGAGCTTAATTCAAGATAAGAAGGAAGATCATTGCAAGAAGCCATGAGACCCTTCCAGATTGGAGCTTGGAACTATGCAGAATCATGTGATATATATATATCTGTTGGAAAGTCTGCCTCCTGATCCACAAATATACAATGACAATAATATTTCAACACGATTGGTTCTGACTGCTGACAAATTGCTCCGAGCAGTGAGGGATATTCTGTCACTTGTTACACGAAAGCTTCAGCCCTACAAGTAGCATCTTACCGTTCCAGATACACCCCAAGCGGCCAAGGCTCTGGAGGTTGTGTACATGAACTTCCAAATGTTTGGCAAAGCTGCTCTCGCGATGCCACCACCTTCATCACTGATACGTATCCTCAGCTGTCAGCTGATCTTTGTATCGCACTCGTTTTCTGCAGCTTCAATAAAGACTTGTTAGCACGGACACCAAAGATGCCATGGGTTGCGTGCGTCTGCTTTTTGCATCTTTTACGTAGCATCACCTTCAGCCACAGCCAACACAACAAAAAGGCAACAAGTTCACCCACGAGTGACATAACTGTGTGACCAGTTGAGTGACGTCACATCCTCGTATCCATGCACGATGTGGCAATGAACAAATGGTAACGGATCGTCAAAACCATCCGCATGCCGTTCCACGACTGCCCGGCAGGAGTTTTTGAAGACCTGGCAGCGTCAGGCACTGGTATGATCACATCCAAATCCGTCCTGTCTCCAAATACCGCCCAAAGGTCCCATTCCATTTAGTTTGTGGAATTGACGCGACCTAAGGTTGGCTTCGGGCAGAGGCTTTTCGGCATGGGATCTGTTCTGTTTCGAGATTCATAGAGCCGACCCAGTGGTGGCCTCTGTCAGCATGTAGTGGAGGTGCATAGGAACATATGTAAAAGTGCCAGGATTGGTGTGGTGAATCCTTGGTGAAGGTCGACACAAAACATGGTGAAGGCCTTGTTGAACAAGTTAAGAAATGTGTCTAGTTTTCGCTATCTGTGTTACGCTTTCAGTAGCTGTTGTAGCTTTTGAAGTCCTCTTTGGATCAGGATATGTAGTTAGGACTACGGTTTGAGTCCTGGTGCCAATGTCTTCCTCCTGTACAGCACAAGACTACCGCAGTCACTTTCTGAGCTCAGCTAATGGGCGCGATGTGTGGCGCTTGGCCCAAATGGGCCCTGCAAAGCATACTGCTGTCTTTCGCTGCCTCCCCAGTTCTCCGCACAATTCTAGCAATGTGAAACCCAGACCCAGTCCTTTCGTGCCACAGCGCAGCCCTGTGTGATTCCAGCCTTCTGGGCAATCACTTCAGGATCGCATGCTATTTGAAGTATGCCGCTATGTCCATCCCGATTCCTGGAAGATTTCGCAGGGTTGCTGAGCGATGACACTATCAAGTTTATCAAGAGTCGTTCCCAATCCCAAAGGGCAGAAGTATTGTTTGACCAGCGAGTTTTTGTGCAGTGTGTTCTCACCTCCCCGAGGTGAGCCACATCAGGTGTAGAAGAATGAAATCCGATTTTATACAAATTTTCCCAAATTCCTGACATGATTGCTTTACCTCCGTATGACCCGCGAAAACACCAAACGACACAATCACATCATTGGCACTCCTGAAGGATTCGATGTGATGCTGCAGGAGAAACCGCATTCCAATGCGCGCAGTAAAGAAGCGGCGCAGAATGCCATCCACTTCAGCTTGCACAAGGCTGTAGTCCTGCACGGAGCACTCAAAACAAGACGATGTCCTACCTAAAGTCTACACGTCTTTGGGCATCTTTGCTCATTTGCGTGCTTCTTGCATAATTTTGCTCTGCAAGAAGAGTCATCAATGCCTTCACTCCACCCATGCATGTTTCTGGTGCTGAATTCGGTTTCTCCTCATGATTTTAACTCCCCCTCAGAATTCCTCAGTCGATGCCGGCATGTTGGTGCGACTCCAGGCCACATTTTTCACACTCTGGCTAGTGATCCCCTATTCATGGCAATTCCCGGCATACTTTTCGTTTTTCCAGAATCCACTATCTTTATTGATGCATTGATGACGGCGCACTTGTTTCACTTACCAAAAAAAAACACAACAATCACCCCAAGAAACCAGAAAAAACCCGGATCCAGATCCAAAACAACAAATCCCCGGTCACTGATAAAGATCACTCCTCTTGCAGCTCCGCAATCAGGTCTTGTACTCCAAAGGCCATCGCCTGCAGTGCACATGGTGGCCCCTCCAGGAACGGTTTCCAAGAGGGGAGGTTACTGCACTTCGTTTGCGTTTCAAGACCTACCACCAGTTATCGTTTTGGGAGATTTGGATAAGATCTTCCAAAGGGAAAACTATGTTCCCTTCCATTGGAGCTACCTAGGAAGAAAGAATCTGTCAGAAGGCTGGCCTGAATCACTTCAGAATGCTCTTCGAAAATCTTGCTGAGCAAATGAGTAAAGTCTTCGTCCTGCTCGTCTGTGTGAGGAACAGGTGAATCCTGCACGTTGAGGGAGGAAAAGGCTGCCCTCACAGCTGGAGTCTTCAAACAGCAGTTTGGAACTGGTTGGAACTGGCTCAAGATTTGTTTAGACAACACAGGACAGCTACTGCGCGCTCGTTGGCGATTTAAGGCGAATTTCATCGGATGAAAGTTACAGCAAATGGAAATGATGGTTAGAAGTAAGACAAGCACGGATCCGTCTTGATGTCAACAAAAGGAACTGAGTGATATACTTTGATGCATTGCAGTAACACAAAAGAACCTGCGGAACAACAAACTAATCTTAAAAGACACATCGCTTGCAATTCACATCTACTGGACGATGTTGCAGACAACGCTCGAACGTGCTTTTAAACACCAAGAGCAACCTCTTCCAGCATAAACACTTTCCAAAAACAGAGGCATCGGTATCACATAAACATATGTTATATACATATTATATATTATGTCTTACAGCATAAAGATCGTCGGCTACGAGTCGCATCCAAAGGTCAGGCACTTCAACACGTGCAGCTGTGTGGCTAACCATTTTACCAAAACCGTGGCTACCCTATGCCAGCAACAAAGACTTGAAGTGCGCGCAGGAAAGTTTGATGTTTTCAGCTTTACACATGCTTACACTACATTACACTACCAGTTTGTAAACGACCATACACTTCAACGCATCATTTTGCACAACCCTCACCATACACCTCGCTCTCAGACCTTGCACAGCCGGCCAATGTGAAGCGCAACCCCAAATCATGGGACAATAGGTGATGTGTTCGAAGTTGTTGCTAAGAAACAATTTGAACATATTTGAACTAATTAATATATGAAATATATATGAATTCAACATCATTGAAAGAGGGTAGACCTCTTCACTCATGCCCATGTTCATCCTCCAGCAGATGGACGAAGCCAGTATACCATTCAATGACATCTCGGATGCCACTTTGCTCACCAAGCCGGTACCTCTTTTTGCTGGACATCTCCGAATTTTCCGTTTATCCACTCGCATGAACAAGTGTGTTTGACTATACAAATGTCTGTTGGTCCATCAAGATGGATTGATCAACTGCAGAGGTAATTGCAATGTGTAAACCAACCAAAAGAAGTTGGAGCATAGAAGACTTTCAGATTTAGGCATGATCCTGTGATCCTCTCCTGTTACCCGATCCATTCCCTTCCCCTGTCGTCTGCTCCCAGCGCACGGCAGGGACTCCAGTTCCAAGACCCTTTGCGCAAGACGAATCCGAAGCTCACGGTGCAAAAACACTCCGTGCTCCCGCCGCCGTCTGCCTTGGGTCAGTGGCAAACTTTCTAACCCTCAGCCAGACTCAAACTCTGAGCAGATCTACCATTGACTACACTGACTACACTAGCGAAAATGTTGGGAAAGGAAGCGAACCTCCGGTACCATATGCAACACCAAGTTTCGATCCAGTCCAATCTGGCAAAGATCCCTCAGGGTCACAGAAGTGGGACTGCGTTCTGCCCAATGTAGAACTGACCTGCAACAACGAAACCCAGCACAAACTTCCCAAAGCCTCACGGTTTTTTGTATGTGGCCAACAAGTGCTGAGAATCGAAAGAACGGAAACACCCACATCGAGTTGCTCACCAGTTTCATGTCAGTCTGCCACAAATCAAAACAAGAGAAAACGCACCTGAACGAAAAGGCACTTGAATAATCAATCTCGAAATCCGCCCACACCGAAAGTGCCGGGGCGTGGTAGTCTAGCAGCCAGTGATACAAACGGACAGATGTGCCAGAGTTTCGGCTCGACGTGGCCGCAGCAGGCTCCAACTTCGGCCCCACTTGGACCCATTTGGTTTAAACCTCTGCCCAACTCGGGTCCAACATGGCGCAACTTAGCCCTAACTCGGACACATTCGGGAGCAATGTCAACCCAAGTTGAGCTCCATATGCTCAACACGGGGACATTGGACACTGCCGGCCCAATACGAAATCGTCAAAACATGCGTTTTCATGCATGGTGTCTCCGTTGGCCAACTTGGTGTGAAGCTGTCGCCAAAAAGTTCCAAGCCCCGCCACTTTGGACCTGACTTGGACCTCATGTGCATCACATAGCTTCAATTTGGGGTCCATCCAATGGATTTCCCGACCCATTGGCTCCAACTTGGGCTCAGTTGTCCAAGATAGCGCAACTTGGGCTCAAGTTGGGTTTTTTGAGGGGCTGCCCGAGCCCAAGCTGGGCCCAACCTGGGCCAATTTTGCGGGCTCAACGCAACACTCTCAAAACTTGCGTTTTCACTGCTATTTCCAACGTTTTTTGTTGTTTTGATGGGGGCTCGTGCAAGGCCATGTTCCCCACATTGGGCCTGTCTTGGGCCCAACTTCGGCGCCAGATGCCCCCGAAGTTGGGGCCAACTGGCCAGAGTTCGACGCAAGTTAGGCCCAAGTTGGGCCCAAGTTGGCTCCTGTTCGGCCCAACTTAAGGCCAAGGACGGTCAAGTTTGACCCAAGTCGGCTTTGGGCCAAGAAGGCCCGCTTCTTTTCCTCTCTGTCCTATTCCCTGGGTGTGGGCGATACTCGTCGCGAAGCGGCTTGAATCAAGTGGATGATAGTGGATGCATTCATGTGTTTCCCAAATACTGCAAAAACAATCAAAAACAATCAAAAACACTGAGACTACCAGGTTATTGATGGTTATTGGCTCGTGGGCGACTCGGCCTTTCCATCTTTTCAAAATCTCAACAGTGTCACTGGATGGCCATGGCCTGTCAACTTTCAACTGGCTGATCAAGCGCACAACTTTGCTACGAATCATGGCGGGCCATCGCTTGGCGCGTCGTGATTCGAATCTTCAGAAAGGGTGCGATTGTTCGAGGTAGTTGGGGGATTTTATGGGATTTCATGAGGATTTAACGGGATATGATTTAACCACCAATTATGGATGATGGGTGTGTCTGAAAATGGTTTACGCCCCGTGATACCCCCAAGCTGTGGCTATGTTAATGAGTAAAATGATGATTAACCATTGGATAGAATGGAGTTTCCCCATCATTTTCAGATAATGAATTTGCAGGATGTGTTCACCATAACACTTGAAAGTGGGCTAGTGTAGGTGACTTGGACACCATGAGCACTATTTGACTGGACCAGCAAGGAACAAATCTCACCGTGTCTGATCATGAGTCAGATTCCCTCCACCTGCGATCTCGAATCAATCAACCCATGCCACACGGTGAGCATACAGACTATGACCCTGTCGTGGGATTGCCGGACCCTTTTCGTCACCAAGATCGCAGGTTTGTCCAGACTGTATCATCAATACTATCTCTGGTGCAAGCACACGGGCTCGAATCAAGTGTGTTTCGCATGAAAGCGGATCAAGACAGATTTTGCTGTTGTATCCAAGCAACACCAAAACGCGCAACGCAATCCAATGACTGACCATCGATTTGAAATTTCAGCTTGGGAGAATGAAGGTCACTGAAGGTGACCGAATTTCAAATGTGACTATATTGTACCGTCTTGCACACACAAGTTGTCTCAAGCAAAAAGACTTGCTATGCAAGTCCGCAAAGGAGACACGACACAGACTTAAGAAAAGAGGTGTCTCAAATACCAAGCAGCCAAATCAGCGAACTTTCAAAGCATTCAAGAGATATTGAATAAAGCCTTGAGATTGGATTTGAAACTGCATGGATCTGCATGGATCTGCATTGGCTTTTCACATGGAAACTCTCTGTATGGTACCGACTCAACTGCTGAGGCATCATGGCGGCTCACAGCTGGAAAACCTGCGAGTCAGAAATTCTCAAGTGCAGCTGGTTGTTCAATGGGGCCACCACGCTCGAATGATATCACGGTATCACTTTTTAAGTATCATATAATCATATAATTGACAAAGGATGACAAAGGCTTAGGGCTTAGGGCTCTGGTAGCCGGACATAGGTCAGTGCTCATCTCAGGCCAAGCCACATTACTCGGAAACACTTCCAGCTGCAAGTTCTGTCGGATTCAAAGCACCTGCTGAAGTCAAAACACCCTGAGGTAACACAAGTTGTGGTCCAAAGCTGCGAAGGATTTTTGAACTGTCAAACTTGCGCAAAAGAACTGCCCAAAGGACCTGGATCTCACTGGCATTTCATGAATTCATCTGCTTCCGCTACAAGACTGAACAGATTCGTGCCTTCCGAGCAATGCGTACGGTACATCGCACCCGATCATGAAGGACCTCCAAAATGTGCAGCCTGAGCCTTTGGCCTGGGCCGACATATATCAGACAGAACAGAACTGTCAGATTTAATTTAAGGTAGATGTTTTGCCTAAAGGGAAAATTCCGCTTCAGTATGTGCCAATTACAATTTTACAATTGTCGTTGCTTTTGTACTTCCTAATGTCCTTGTTTAAACTCTTTGATCTGCATAGCTGCATAGATGTGACGTCAGTTGAAGATTGCAGAGGAATTCCGAATCATAAGAAGCTAAGAGAATAAGAACTAAAATGATTCTTCAGATTACTCAAGCCTTTTGAGAGTAGCAAACTGGATTCCTCAATGCATAACACTAATCACACAATCGCACCATGATGGCAAATCTCAAACCACCAAAAAAAAAAGCACAAGGAAGACTCTGACACTGCTCTGGCACCTATCACTCACCTGCCCCGGCTGAGATTCCAACAAGGTGTCTTCACCCCCATGGTGAACATCCATCACAGTGCAAGGTACATCTTTGCCCGATCGTAAAGAACCTGAGAAATAAAACCCACACGGTCGGCACCACTAATGCTTGATACAGTTAAACAATTGATAGATATTGATAGATATTGATAGATATTGATAGATGTAATATTAAATGATATTATTAAATCTTTAAAGGATATTGATAGTGATAGTTTATGAATGGGAAATCAAACAAAGTTGCAAAATCTGTACCGCTTGGGCATGACTTACGCCTTCAAAACCGGGACAAAACACAAATCTCAGCCTCCGACGAGCACCAATGCTCCGCCAACACTTCGTACAACATTGGCCAAAAATCCCTTGTAGAGACCCCTCATCAGTTCTGAGATCCAATCAAAAATCTAAGATATTTCTGAGAGGTAGAATGACAACAGTTGCAAGAGTTGGCGGGCTGTCAGGCAAGCAAAAGTTTCTGAGTGGCTGACCCTCCTCAGCAGCAATCTTCTTGAAACAGTCCACGGTGCCTTTGTAGATGTGTTCTTCCACTGGCTTCTCTGACTGCATCTGCAGTCGTCTTCGCACCGTGTCGAATGGATATGTGGCACCTGCTCCGATGGTAATGGCGGTCTGGGCTGCTCCGAAAGTGGTCAGGGCTCCCAGGAAACCAGGGTCCTTCTTCCAAGGATTCAAGCCCGTGATGGTGTCGAAAGTGCCCAACTGCAGGCCGCGGTATCCAATGATGCCGCAGACTGAAACACCGAAACCTGTGTACAGAGCAAAGAATCCACCTGGTCCCTTGGCAGTCTTCATGATGCAGTCACCCAATCCACTGAATGTAGCCTTTCCAGAACCCACGTCCGAAGCCAAGCGCGTCCGGGCATAGTCCAATGGGTACACAATGGTCATGCTTGCTGCTGCTGCCAAACCGCCAGACACCAAGTTGGCACCAAAGAACTTCCAAAATTCCGTCTTGGGGTTGTATTTTGGGAACATCTTCTTGAAGGTGTCCTTGAAAGCGAGGTTGAAGGCCTGGGTGGGGAAGTAGCGCAGGCAGTTTGTGAAGTTGCCATCCCAAAAGCGGTACAGACCCTGTTCCTTCAGGATTCTCTGGGCACAATCAACCATACCGGTGTAACGGGGAACTTCTCCACTGCGGATATTTGGATTTGCATCCTGAGTCTGCACCACCAATTTCACTCGCTCAATTGGTGCTGTCAATGTCTTTGAAACAGCACCGGACACTCCACCCAACAGGAAGTCCACCATGAAAGCCTGCACATTGCTGTCCTTTGCCATGGCGGAACGATCGCAAGAAGCACGAGCACTCCAAGAAACAGTTTGAAGCTCGGCTGCGAATGCACCACACGAAAAGCTGCATATGCACCGGGGCTTGCTAAGTGGGAAATGGCCGAACAGTTCCCACCGAGCAAAATCAAGACTCCATCAGCTTTAAAGCTTTGCTTGTAGCATCTAATTATCACAATTAAGGTATCTTAACAAATTCTCTGCAAAGTTGCAATCCTTGTCTGGGCCCAAACGTAAGTGGTCGACGGCGGTCCCAAGTTTTTCCTTGAACTTCGGCACTGAGGCGCGAAACAGAGTTTTGGAACTTGACCGTCGACCACATCGACCACAGCGCATCGATTGAATCGATTTAGTCTGATTAGTCTCGGCCTTTATCGGCCTTGTCATCTCCCAAAGGAGACAGATATTTCAACTTACAGCCGCTCAGAGATGATAACGGAATCTTATTGTTCGCAGGATTTATATAATGAAACAAACAGCGCTAAAAAACGAAAGTGTTGAAATGATTTGAAATGAACACTTGATGAACACTTGTCCTCCAAGCAGCTTTCAGTTAGAAAGAAGGCTCACATAGTTATTTTTTCAGTCTCATAGCCTCAACTGCGCTGGCTTGGATGGGGGATTGCAACATCTAGAGTGCTCAGGACGGTTCTGAAATGGTGCAAGTCTCAAAACGATTGGAGATTACAGTGCTTGACGTCATGAGCATCAACACAAACTGCTGGACATCCAAGGGAGCTTGTACTTCAATTTGAACAGCAATTGGACATGAAAACCTCACCTGACAAACATGCTGAAGAGAAAAATACTGTATAAATCTGGAACAAAAAGCTATCCAACATCCGCTGCTCTGACGAAGGGACTGGTATAAAATGGCGCAGGTTTCCCGAGCAAAAGGAGTCTTAGGGTTGTGGGACAGCTGGGCAATCATCCTATGCGCAAATCTAGTTTGAAATCTGTCTTGTACCCTGCACGATCCTGCACCTGAATGCGCAGAAGAAAAACAATTGAAATTTCACAATAACGATCAGAAACCTGCACAGGGAAGACTCTGACACTGCCGGCTGAGATTCCAACAAGGTGTCTTCACCCCCATGGTGAACATCCATCACAGTGCAAGGTACATCTTTGCCCGATCGTAAAGAACCTGAGAAATAAAACCCACACGGTCGGCACCACTAATGCTTGATACAGTTAAACAATTGATAGTTATTGATAGATATTTATAGATATTGATAGATAAGATATTGAATGATATTATTAAATCTTTAAAGGATATTGATAGTGATAGCTTATGAACGGAAATCAAACAAAGTTGCAAAATCTGTACCGCTTGGGCATGACTTGCGCCTTCAAAACCGGGGCAAAACACAAATCTCAGCCTCCGACGAGCACCAATGCTCCTCCAACACTTCGCACAACATTGGCCAAAAATCCCTTGTAGAGACCCCTCATCAGTCCTGAGATCCAACCAAAAATCTAAGATATTTCTGAAGCAACCTGAGAAGGGGGGAACGAAAGCCAGCATCCCATCTACCCCTATTTTCCCCCAATGATTTTTCACCCACAGACTTTTCCCCCACATACTTTTCACCCAGAGACTCTTCACCCAGAAACCCTTCTTGCACATACTTTTCACCCAGAGACTCTTCACCCAGAAACTCTTCACCAAGAAACTCTTCTTGCATATACTTTTCACCCAGAGACTCTTCACCCAGAAACTCTTCTTGCACAGACTTTTCCCCCAGAGACTCTTATTCAGAAACTCTTCTTGCTCACACTTTTCACCGATATACTTTTGACCCAGAGACTCTTCCCCAGAAACTCTTCTTGCACGTACTTTTAACCCATATACTTTTCACCCAGGGGCTCTTCACCCAGAAACCCTTCTTGCACAGACTTTTCGCCCATATACTTTTCACCCAGGGACTCTTCACCCAGAAACTCTTCACCCAGAAACTCTCCATGCACATACTTTTCGCCTATATACTTTTCACCCAGAGACTCTTCACCCAGAAACTCTTCTTGCACATACTTTTCACCCATATACTTTTCACCCAGAGACTCTTCACCCAGAAACTCTTCTTGCACGTACTTTTTACCCATATACTTTTCACTCACCCAGAGACTCTTCACCCAGAAACTCTTCTTGCACATACTTTTCACCCATATACTCTTCACCCAGAAACTCTTCACCCAGAAACTCTTTTTGCACATACTTTTCACCCATATACTTTTCACCCAGAGACTCTTCACCCAGAAACCCTTCTTGCACATACTTTTCACCCACAGACTCTTCACCCAGAATCTCTTCACCCAGAAACTCTTCTTGCACATACTTTTCACCCATATACTTTTCACCCAGAGACTCTTCACCCAGAAACTCTTCTTGCACGTACTTTTTACCCATATAATTTTCACCCAGAGACTCTTCACCCAGAATCTCTTCTTGCACAGGCTTTTCACCCATATACTTTTTACTCAGAAACTCTTCACCCAGAAACTCTTCTTGCACATACTTGTCACCCATTTACCTTTCACCCAGAGACTCTTCACCCAGAGACTCTTCTTGCACATACTTTTCACCCAGGGACTCTTCACCCAGAAACTCTTCTTGCACAGGCTTTTCACCCATACACTCTTCACCCAGAAACTCTTCCCCAGAAACTCTTCTTGCACGTACTTTTTACCCATATACTTTTCACCCAGAGACTCTTCACCCAGAAAATCTTCTTGCACATACTTTTCACTCATTTACTTTTCACCCACAGACGGGTCAACCATATATTTCTCACCCACAGACTTTTCCCCCATATGCCTTTCACCCATAAACTTTTCACCCAGAGACTCACCCAGAAACCCTTCTTGCACATACTTTTCACCCAGAGACTCTTCACCCAGAAACTCTTCTTGCAAATACTTTTCACCCAGAAACTCTTCACCCAGAAACTCTTCTTGCACATACTTTTCACCCAAGGACTCTTCACCCAGAAACTCTTCTTGCAGATACTTTTCAGCCATATACTTTTCACCCAGGGACTCTTCACCCAGAAACTCTTCTTGCACAGACTTTTCACCCAGAGACTCTTCACCCAGAAACTCTTCTTGCACAGGCTTTTCACCCAGAATCTCTTCACCCAGAAACTCTTCTTGGACCTACTTTTCACCCATATACTTTTCACCCAGACACTCTTCACCCAGAAACTCTTCTTGCACATACTTTTCACCCAGAGACTCTTCACCCAGAGACTCTTCACCCAGAAACCCTTCTTGCACATACTTTTCACCCAGAGACTCTTCACCCAGAAACTCTTCTTGCACATACTTTTCACCCAATACTCTTCACCCAGAAACTTTTCTTCTTTTCACCCAGAGACTCTTCACCCAGAAACTCTTCTTACTTTTCACCCATATACTTTTCACCCAGACACTCTTCACCCAGAAACTCTTCTTGCACATACTTTTCACCCAGAGACTCTTCACCCAGAGACTCTTCACCCAGAAACCCTTCTTGCACATACTTTTCACCCAGAGACTCTTCACCCAGAAACTCTTCTTGCACATACTTTTCACCCATTTACTTTTCACCCAGAGACTCTTCACCCAGAAACTTTTCTTGCACAGACTTTTCACCCAGAGACTCTTCACCCAGAAACTCTTCTTGCACATAGTTTTCACCCATATACTTTTCACCCAGGGCCTCTTCACCCAGAAACTCTTCTTGCACATAATTTTGACCCAGGAACTCTTCTTGCACAGGCTTTTCACCCAGAAATTCTTCTTGCATATACTTTTCACCCATATTTTTTTCATTCAGAGACTCTTCACCCAGAAACTCTTCTCGCACATACTTTTCACCCATATACTTTTCACCCAGAGACTCTTCACCCAGAAAATCTTCTTGCACATACTTTTCACTCATATACTTTTCACCCACAGACGGATCAAACTTATATTTCTCACTCACAGACTTTTCCCCCATATACCTTTCACCCATAAACTTTTCACCCAGAGACTCTTCACCCAGAAAATCTTCTTGCACAGACTTTTCACCCAGGGACTCTTCACCCAGAAACTCTTCTTGCACATACTTTTCACCCATATACTTCTCACCCAAAGACGGATCAACCATATACTTCTCACCCACAGACTTTTCCCATATATACTTTTCACCCAGAGCCCCCCCCAGACCCCCTATTTTCACTTCGCTCGCAAACAACAACTGGCCAGCTTCCCGGCCGGCTTTCGTAAAAATATATATATACATATATATATATATAAGCGAACCCGGCCTGAATTGTCAGGAATGCTCTACATTCTCAGGCCATTATGTACCTCCTCCACGGTACTTTTGGTGGTTAATTTTTGTGACAGCTACTATGTCTACGCCTTCAAACCTCGCATTATGCGCTAGCCCTCCTTCCTCCTTCACGCAAACACCTTCCCATCTGACATCACAGTGCCCGACAAAGACCCTCGAGCCGGGCGACTTTTGTCCTTCCTCCACCAACATCGACAGCAGTGGCAAAAGGCGCCTTTACCCTTACCTTTCCTATCTGTGCTAGCCCTCCTTCCCCCTTCTCGCAGACATCGGCTCCTCGGCCAAGCACCCCAAAAGGCTCCCCAAAATGCGGACCTAGGGGGAATCGATACCCTACCGTCACCCTTTTGCCGCATGGTACATGACCCGGAAAAACGCTCCCAAAACACACCCTTCCCCCCAAGTAATAGCGAGATTTTGGCCCACTTGGGCAAGCCCTCCCCCCAGACCCCCTTATACTCACTTTGTTCGCAGACAGCAACGATCCAGCTAGCTGGCTTTCGTAACATCAACAGCTCGCTAGAATCCGCTAGAATGACAACAGTTGCAAGAGTTGGCGGGCTGTCAGGCAAGCAAAAGTTTCTGAGTGGCTGACCCTCCTCAGCCGCAATCTTCTTGAAACAGTCCACGGTGCCTTTGTAGATGTGTTCTTCCACTGGCTTCTCTGACTGCATCTGCAGTCGTCTTCGCACCGTGTCGAATGGATATGTGGCACCTGCTCCGATGGTAATGGCGGTCTGGGCTGCTCCGAAAGTGGTCAGGGCTCCCAGGAAACCAGGGTCCTTCTTCCAAGGATTCAAGCCCGTGATGGTGTCGAAAGTGCCCAACTGCAGGCCGCGGTATCCAATGATGCCGCAGACTGAAACACCGAAACCTGTGTACAGAGCAAAGAATCCACCTGGTCCCTTGGCAGTCTTCATGATGCAGTCACCCAATCCACTGAATGTAGCCTTTCCAGAACCCACGTCCGAAGCCAAGCGCGTCCGGGCATAGTCCAATGGGTACACAATGGTCATGCTTGCTGCTGCTGCCAAACCGCCAGACACCAAGTTGGCACCAAAGAACTTCCAAAATTCCGTCTTGGGGTTGTATTTTGGGAACATCTTCTTGAAGGTGTCCTTGAAAGCGAGGTTGAAGGCCTGGGTGGGGAAGTAGCGCAGGCAGTTTGTGAAGTTGCCATCCCAAAAGCGGTACAGACCCTGTTCCTTCAGGATTCTCTGGGCACAATCAACCATACCGGTGTAACGGGGAACTTCTCCACTGCGGATCTTTGGATTTGCATCCTGAGTCTGCACCACCAATTTCACTCGCTCAATTGGTGCTGTCAATGTCTTTGAAACAGCACCGGACACTCCACCCAACAGGAAGTCCACCATGAAAGCCTGCACATTGCTGTCCTTTGCCATGGCGGAACGATCGCAAGAAGCGCGAGCGCCGGAAGAAACGTTTGAAGCTCGGCTGCGAATGCATCACACAAAAAGCTGCAATTACCTTTTTAACTTAGGCCTTGTCAATGGATAATAGGTTCACTGTAGACAGAATGTTCTGGAGCAAAGGAAGCAATAGGCAAGCTTCGCAAGCTTTACCTGGCAAGGAAAAGGACGCCTTGCAGGTGTCACCTGTTTGCCACACCAAGACTCTGCTCTCTCTCTCTCTCTCTTCTCTCTCTCTCTCTCTCTCTCTCTCTCTCGCTCTCTCTCTCTCTCTCTCTTCCATTCTTCCTACTACCTGCAGCTTTTTCATCGGAACAAAGCGATCAACGACTGTGCACATCAGCCTGTCCATTCAGGATCTTTGACTCCATGACAGCCTGGAAAAGAAAGGTGAGTTGCTTTGTACTTTCGGCTTTGACGAACTGAGCAAGATGGTCCGGTCGAGTCCGGTCTGTCTTCCAGAAAGAAGGTTAAATTCCCCTTGTCCCTAAAATGAGCCAAAAGATGTACATTAAAAAACTCAGCTGAAACAACCATTTACCATTAAGAACGGCAAGCATTGCAGACTCGTGCTCAGGCGCCTCTACAATGCAAGGTACATCTTTGCCCGATCGTAAAGAACCTGAGAAATAAAACCCACACGGTCGGCACCACTAATGCTTGATACAGTTAAACAATTGATAGATATTGATAGATATTTATAGATATTGATAGATGTGATATTAAATGATATTATTAAATCTTTAAAGGATATCGATAGAGATAGTTTATGAATGGGAAATCAAACAAAGTTGCAAAATCTGTACCGCTTGGGCATGACTTGCGCCTTCAAAACCGGGACAAAACACAAATCTCAGCCTCCGACGAGCACCAATGCTCCTCCAACACTTCGTACAACATTGGCCAAAAATCCCTTGTAGAGACCCCTCATCAGTCCTGAGATCCAACCAAAAATCTAAGATATTTCTGAAGCAACATCAACAGCTCGCTAGAATCCGCTAGAATGACAACAGTTGCAAGAGTTGGCGGGCTGTCAGGCAAGCAAAAGTTTGAGTGGCTGACCCTCCTCAGCAGCAATCTTCTTGAAACAGTCCACGGTGCCTTTGTAGATGTGTTCTTCCACTGGCTTCTCTGACTGCATCTGCAGTCGTCTTCGCACCGTGTCGAATGGATATGTGGCACCTGCTCCGATGGTAATGGCGGTCTGGGCTGCTCCGAAAGTGGTCAGGGCTCCCAGGAAACCAGGGTCCTTCTTCCAAGGATTCAAGCCCGTGATGGTGTCGAAAGTGCCCAACTGCAGGCCGCGGTATCCAATGATGCCGCAGACTGAAACACCGAAACCTGTGTACAGAGCAAAGAATCCACCTGGTCCCTTGGCAGTCTTCATGATGCAGTCACCCAATCCACTGAATGTAGCCTTTCCAGAACCCACGTCCGAAGCCAAGCGCGTCCGGGCATAGTCCAATGGGTACACAATGGTCATGCTTGCTGCTGCTGCCAAACCGCCAGACACCAAGTTGGCACCAAAGAACTTCCAAAATTCCGTCTTGGGGTTGTATTTTGGGAACATCTTCTTGAAGGTGTCCTTGAAAGCGAGGTTGAAGGCCTGGGTGGGGAAGTAGCGCAGGCAGTTTGTGAAGTTGCCATCCCAAAAGCGGTACAGACCCTGTTCCTTCAGGATTCTCTGGGCACAATCAACCATACCGGTGTAACGGGGAACTTCTCCACTGCGGATCTTTGGATTTGCATCCTGAGTCTGCACCACCAATTTCACTCGCTCAATTGGTGCTGTCAATGTCTTTGAAACAGCACCGGACACTCCACCCAACAGGAAGTCCACCATGAAAGCCTGCACATTGCTGTCCTTTGCCATTGTGCTTCAACAAAGTTGGGAACAAACAAGGGAATACACAGCTTGAGCTGAGTTCCGCCTTTTTCAGGCCTGCATGTTTTGTGCTTGGAAGATCGAAACCTCATGATAGGGTGCCAAAAAATGATGCAAGTTGCTAAAAGTGCAATGCTGCATTACTTGCACTGACCACCCTAGATTCCTAGATCACTTTAAATAGTAGCAAGTTTGCATGTCTCTAAAACATAGATCCATAGTCCGTAGTCTCCGCAACTCAAGAATCTGCCTTGCTTTTTTCGTCCCCATTTGCCCGAGGAAATTCAACTCCACCCGTCTGGTGGAGGTTTCATGACTGCATTTTCGTCATTCAACGAAATGTCGGAGCTACTGTGTCTGTAAGAAGGCCACACCTTCGAAAAGGAGGAAGACTTTGAGCGGAAAAGAAACTGCAAAGGCTCAAAGCCTGAAAGAAATCCCAGATCTTTTTCCGAGATGAGCAATATATGAATACTTGCTGTGGGAATAAGGATTCCAGGCAGTCTTCTCTTCAAACTGCCATTGGCTGGAATACGCAAATGCAAAGCGGTCAGGTTCTCAAAGGCCTGTCCTGGCACAGGATACCCCATAAAAAGTGATGAGAAATGGTGAGAAATTATGAGACATGTGCATTCCTGGCTGTGACTCCAGATCTTTGAAAGGAAAAGTTGTGTCCAGCCACGGCCTTGGCAAACCCCATCTTGAAATAATTGAGGCTGAAGATAATGGTCGTGCATCGCGAACAGCAGATTTCAGGCCAAACTGTCTAAATGGTCCAACCTCTCTGACCTCGGACAAAGCATGGACGTCTCCTAATGCAGCCCTCATATCTTTAATTGGTCTGGCATGTTTTGCCAAAAACTGGATCCAGCAACAGTTGAATATGAAAGGCAATATCAGGAGAAAAAAATCAACAGCTGCAGAGCACATGTGCAGAATGGCAAATGTTCATCTCACAATTCTCACACAGCATCGAAGCAAAGTAATGCACACCCTTCACATCAAAGCCGGCTCGATTCAATCCGGATTAGCTGAATAAAACCTGTCGCACAGTCTGGCGATTTGCGACCAACCTGTGACAAATGCTGACCAAGGTGCGCTGCTGCCGCGGCTGCTTGCAAATATCTGTGGTGTTCAATTTGCAAAACAAAGGCATCGGTCAAGGCGACCGCTGTAAAGTCAGAGGTGTACCTCACCAACGAGCTGCAGAATCCACATTGTTTCGGGTTCATGCAATGCCGCGCTGCTCAGATCATTATCACAAGGTGATTTTTGGTAGCGGTGACAACAAAATCATCAGAATCCAAAGAGTTTCCCACCACTGTTCTGCTTAGGCACTTTGCCGAAGAGCCTTTGGTTGGCATCAGCAGGCCCACTCCGAGGCAAGCCCATGGACCAAGGGTGCTCTCGCAGTTGTCTGCTCCACTGGTGAGGTGAAAAGCACCTGTCCGAAGAAACAAGAAGGAACTGATGTTCAACTGATGCTCATTGATTTTCCAATTGTGAAATTGCAAAATCCTGTCATGCTGGTCATGCTCCTAAAATTCGATGACCCACTGTGCTGCACTACACGAGAACTCATGAGGATTCAAATCAAATGATACAGGCAATGGTTCTTGCACCACCACCACACAGCTTCTCTTTGTGCTAGATTGGACCAATACCGCAGGCTCTCTCTCCGACCTACCACAAAATCACATTCCTTGGACTATCTGATTTCCAACAAATGTGTCTCCTCTGTTGAGCGTGGCAACTCTCAGCAGCTTCCAGCGTATTGGAATAATAACCGGCATTTTTTGCATATTGTTGTTCTTGGTGTGGTTTCCAACGCGCGGCCCTGCACAGTGTGCTACTTTTGTCTTATGTACGGCTATGCTGTGCTTTCTTTTTGTACGTCCTGTTGTGTGTTTATTTGTTTCTATGTCCGCATGCGTTTGTTTATGCTGTGTTTTTTTAATGTATGCGCTGTTGTTGGTTGATATTTTGTAAGTCTGTATGGGCCGAGCAGTAACGTTCTCATGATTACTGTTTGGTGGTTGCATTGTTTTTTGCTGTCAAGAAGATTGGACAAAAAAATGAACTCCAGGTCAACCACAGGCGAAACCAGTACACCAAAGAATCAGTAGGCCATGTAAGAGCTGCAACCCAGAGCTTATATAGATAGAACCTGGTCATTCCTAAAATACTGGGGTTGCATTGGTGGCAAGCCTGCTAAAAATAAGACAACTTCGCATGCAAGTGCGCACCATTTGGACATGGCCTATTCGCTTGGTGCGGGTGGGAGCTTGCTGGAGTGTTTTGCTGACACAGCGTGGCAACAAGGAGGGCTCTTTACTCTTTACAAAAGCTGACAACCATGGAAAAATTCACTGGGTTCCAAGGCCGTGCCCCGGTTGCTATACTGTTCTTCATTCCAATGATGTTGTTTGCATTCCCCATTCCAAAAAATCTCGTCAAACCTTGCGCACCTTGCAGAACCAGAGTCACTTTCGTTGTCTCAAAGCCGGATCGATACAGCTCTGTACGTTTCGGAATGAACCTGGCACAGAGCTCTCATGCTCGACCGTTTCGGAAAAATCCCCCAGCAAAACACCTGGCAAAACGTCGTAACTTTGCCAAGGCAACTGTGGTCGAAGTTCTCGCAGGAGACCCATGAGTTTCCTTTTGTTCATGAGCTGATGGGAGAAAATCCGAGGCAAAGTTGCTACCTGACCAAGGCAGGCCGCACTGACCGCTGGTGTCGCCAATTGTCCACACTGAAGTTGAAAAAAAAACAAAGCACGTGTGCGCCAAATCAATAAACAACGTCCGAGGATTTTTACCTAAAGCGTCCTCCCACAAACCAAGAGCAGAAATCAATAATCAAGAAGCGAGGAAGGACATCACTGCCCCTGCTTCATCCTGCAGCCAAGCGAAAAGGACTTCGGAATCCAACTCTGCCATTCACATTCCGTTTACATTCCGTTTACTTTCCCAACATCAATGGCCCACAGACCCTTTGCATGTTTTTGATTCCTGCAGCATCAAGGCTACATTGCTAACATGTGCGTCCTCTCCCAGCTGCTCTTCTCGTGCTGCCATACCTTCCAATCTTGTCCGGTCCTTAAAGGATTGAGGAGTACTGAGGTCCTCTGCGTCTCAAGTCAATCTGGAAAGCTGCCGTATGAACTCCAGATACTCTATATAGTCTTTCATAGTCTTTCTACTTCAAAAGGCAATACTGAGCAGGTGTATCGATCCTCCTCCTGCAAAAATAAGGCGTTTGAATTCCGATGATGTAAACAGCCGTTTCGAACTGCATTTAGCGACATTAGACTGGTGTCACAAAGGTTGGTTAAAAGTTCAAGATGCCATTCTTGACACAACCCCAGGAATCAATCGCTTTGGACTTGCACGGAGAAAAGAAAGTTCTGAAATGTAGCCATCACATTGCGCGACCTTTGACACATTTGATGTCGCTGTCCAATGGTTCACATTGCGCGAAGCAACTGAAGCAACTGAAGCGAAAGAAAAACCCAAGAAAAATCCGAGATTCAAAGAGGTGCAAGGCTCCGGCTTGCTGATGCCTCCTCGGGCTGCTTCCCACATCTTCTGAAAAGCCATTTCCATGTGCCTGCCTCAGACCCGAAATCCCATGCAAGTAAAAGATACATCTAAGAAAAAAAACTTAGAAAAATATACAAAAAATATGGCAATTCTGCAATACCTTGAAAGGTCACCTGGTTGCTTTGTGACAACAAAATGCAAAAATGAATGGCAAGATTGAACATCATGATTTCATGTCCAACAGCACATGACAAAGAATAACCTTATTTCAGCTTCGAGGCAGTATTGTGTCAAAGATGTTGTGGAGAGTGACAATGCCTTGGGAGACGACGGCTGGTCACTTAGAAATCTTACAAGGCTAACGTGGGTGGTGAGACAATCCTTTTCTCAGGCAAGAGGCCTATGTGGCGAGCCTCCGGTCCCTCGCCGTCTGCAACCACAGCCAGGTGTGGTTGACGTTTAAACCTGAACAGATCTGAACAGTGTGAATGATTGAGGACGCATACGGCATTTGCTATAATTTGCGGATGCTACTCATCATACTCATCCGATCATCAATCAAAATCGACAGAAACGACACAAATGAACACAACTGAAAGTAAAATTGCTGAGCCCCTTCCCCGAACACAAGTCATTGAAGTGACACACTGCTGCCAGCTACCACCAGGGCAGTCTAAGTGCTGCGCTCAGCGAGCAAAGCCATTAGCGTCGTGTCTTTGCCACAAACGAAGACTTGCCTCAGGACTGGCTTGATGATCTTGATGTGCAATCCGCATAACCATCGTTTAGTATACTGAAAGGTACGTCCACTTGCTTTTTATACAGAAGATCCAAAATCAATTTACATTATGATCAAATTTGACCAACTCAAAAGCCTTCGTCCACAGCGAACTCCAACAAATCCGAAACATCAACACACAGTAACCAGAACGAAAGAACTGCAACCAGAGTGCAACACAAGCAGAACCAGAGTGCGACTGAAGCCGCACTCGCATAAAATCAAAGACAGAACAGAAATCAAACCGGAAGAAATCAGAATGGAACCAGAGTGGAACCGGAATCAAACCGAAATGAAGGAACGGAACGGGAATACAGCACCTGAATCCAACTGGAAAAGAATCAGAATCTGACCGAATGACACCCAAAATCGAACCGGAATAAGAACCGGAATCGAACCGGAATGGACAGAAATGGAAAATGAGTGAAATGGAAATGAAACCGGAATAGAGACCGAACCAGAATGGAATCGGAATGAAACCGAAATCACACCGGAATTCAACCAGAATCAAGCCGAAAGAAACTAAAAGTGAACCGGAACCGAGCCGAATTCATGCAAACGGAATACGAAACGAACCTGAATGAAACCAGAAACCAGCACGGAACTGAAATATTACTGACCGGAATGGAACAGGGAAACCCAAAGAAACCAGAATGAAACCAATGCCTAACCGGAATGGATCTGGAATCTAACCAGAATAAGAATTGCAATGGAACAACAGCCAGAACGGAGGAATCAAACTGGAACGAAAACCGAAATGAGAATTGGGACCAAACAGAAATAAACTGGAATGGAAACGAAATAAAACTGAACCGGAATGGATGCGGAACAAGAACGCGAATACAGGAACCGAACCGGAACAAGAAACGGAATGGAATGGGAATAGGAAACCAGAATGGAGGAATCAAAAGGGAAGAAGAACCGGAATGAGAACCGGAAACGAACAGGAATGGAATCGAAATACGAACAAACCAGAAAAAGAACTGAACCAAGATGGAAACCGAACAGGAACCGAACCAGAGCGGAACCGGAAAAAGAACCGAACGGCGGAACAAAAAAAGGAAATCCAGTGGAAGAATCCAACTGGAAGAAGAGCGGCAAGGAGAACCAGAAGCAAGTGGGGACGGAGCCGGAATAGGAACCGAACCGGAACGAAACCGGAATGAGAACCCAAGCGGAATGGAATAGGAACAACTGAATGGGAATAAGAATCCGAATGGAAGCAGAGTGAGACTGGGATGGCACTATGTCCTTTGTCATTCACTTGTGTGGAACCAGAGCTGGAGGGAAGTCTCACATCCTGTAATAGGCCAAACATTCCATGCAAGCAAATGTGACATGTGTATGTGTGAAAGGTTCCACCCATTACTGATGTCAGAAGCTCATGACATTCAGTTTATACTGAAAGAATCCAAAGCCATCTGGGGATTTCTGGGGAACTGAGTGCACCGGCCTGTCACGACCAGCTTGTTTCAGTGCTTCCAGCAACTCCCCCACTGTTGCCTTGTGGGTCACAGGACCATGGATCGAAGGCACCAGAATGAAGCTAAAGGATGCTTAGACATCATGTCGCACTGAATAATGTCAGACTATCAAACTGTCAGACTGTCAGTTCAAAATGCTTCAGAGACATCAAAGCAGGTCTTAAAATATGGCAGCAGCTGTGAGCAACAAATGTTCCTTCAACTAATTAGACCTGTTTACAACTCTCAAGCCAATGATTTTGGAGGCCAGAACTTCCAAATTTTGTCAAGTGATTGGACATGGCATTGCCGCAATTGCCTTGTGGCAACTTGACGGTTTGTTCAGCCCTCCGAGACATTCCGAGACAATGCCAACTTTTTATCAAGTTGGCATTGCCCAGTCGCGATATGATATGATTGATATGGTCATGCTCATCATGCTCCAAAATGCAACAGATTGCAACAGGAACTGGGGCATTGACAGATCGTCCTCGCACCTCTTCAAGGTGGTCATACTCCTTAGCACACCACGCACACAATCGTTCTAAAATAATTAGTCGTTGTTTCAGCGCTGGTTGCGAGAACAAAGTGATGGTATGACTCAGTCTATTTTGCAAGGTTGGGTCAGACACTAGCACTGGTATATTGTATGTTACCTCTCCGGTACGTGGGCTGCAAACAAAGCAAAGTCATGCCATGTCCGCCAAATGGTCTTCACCCCTCAAACATGTTCAAACAGCACCCCGAAGTCAAGACGCACCAACACCCTCTACATTTGTCGACACATCATTTCATCCCCAGTTTCTGGTTCGCGGAGGGAAAGTAAATCTTTGCAGTGCAGCAAGCCAACCACCTGGAAAACGCTGATCTTTGTTGGCGTCAGATGTTCTGCTCATTCCTCATTGTGCCTTAATTTCCCCTGAGTGTCCCAAATGCTCCCCAAACTCCCACGTTGCCTGTCTCGTGGTCGGCTCCACGACGGGGAAGCGGCTAAACCCTTGCTGCACCACCTGTGCGATGAAAGCGTAGTCGAGAATATCCTGCAGAACTTCAGGCTGAAAATGGCTGAAAATTTTCAATGGATAATTTCATGAAACATAGTGCCTGTCAAGGTCTCCACTCTCATCTTTCCAGGGAGTGGGGGTAAATACTTGGACTTAAAAGTATTTTTTTCTGCCTGATAGGCTTGATAGGGAATCCTGAAATTCCTTGCGTAGGAAGCTTTAAGCCGGCACTATGAGTTTGTAGGATTTGTAGGACACTTTCTGAGCATTTCGTTGCACCCACGTCTTATCTCCTTTGGGCTCAGAGTGCACGCAGTCTCAAGCTTCACCATGACCTCCGACACAGTCTTCTGAGCCATGCCCAATGCTCCTGCGCCGCTCTTCCGAGGATTTCAAAGGGTCCACCACAAAATCCGCCCGCACCGAAGGTGCTGGGGCGTGATCTTCCGGATGGCACTCGTAAAAGGTTACAGGTTTACCTGGGGGGGGGGGCTTTTTTCGGCCAAAACCTCCTGTTTTTGATAGGTCGTGACGCTCGCCTTCAAAAAACACTGTAAAAAACAGTACGGAAGACACCTGTTCGTGAACGCGCCCGTCCAAAATCGGCAAGCGAAAAGTGAAAAAAACCCGTGTTTTTCAACTTTTTGACCTCAATTTTTTGGTTTGCAACATCTTTTTTTGCGGTTCCGCAGGTGGCCGGGCCTGGAGGCGGATTTTTGAGTTTTTGGACCCGTTTTCGGACTGATTTTCGTCGTTTTGTGATAGCAGAAACACTGGTTTTTACAGTGTTTTTCTGTTTTCTGCATGCTTGACGGCTAGCTTCAAAACTTCCAAAAACCTCGTAAATTACGCTGTTTTATGTTACGGTGTGAATGAAAACATCGTAAATACCAGTGTTTTTTGACGTTGGTTAAAAAAACACTGTAAATTACAGTGTTTTTGGCCACCTGACCCTCAAAAACCATGGTATTTGCAGTGGTTTCTGCTTCTCACCGCGCAAAAACACTGTAAATAACAGCAATTTCGCCGTTTTTTCATGTTTTTCGTTATTTTTTGAACTGCGTTGGTCCGCTATACATGGCTATCAAATTCTTCGCGATTTTTTTTCCCGACAATCAGTACTTTCGGATGTTTTTGGTTTCAGACATCATTGGCAGTTACGAGCGGCTGCCCAACGATGCGGTGCGGGCGGTTGCCGTCGCGAAGCGACGTGAATACATGTCACAAACCAAATATTGAAGCACCAAAGTCTGACCAAACGTTGCTACTCGGACTACCTAGTTTACTGCAACAAGTATCTAAGTAGCTAACATATCTCAAGTTACCTTGGCAAGAAAAGCATCAGTTCAGAGAAGCCAAAGTCTAGAGAATTATGCAGTTTGTTGCTGGACATCTTGGTCTTCAAAACTTGTATTTCATGGCAGCTTCCCACAAACTCTGGTCAGTCTGCGCCTATCAGCATTTCCGCTTGCCCCTCTGCTAGCATTCCAGGAGCTGCAGACTTCTGGTATTCCACCAGAGCTTGCAACCGGGAACGATCCAACAAGTTCTCCTCCGATGGGGAGAGGGCATGGGAAAGGGCCTAGGGGATCCTACACGAGCCAAGTCCAAACATCTGCAGAATCTTCATCCATGGCCTCAGGTTCCCCCCCAGGTCTCCCGCTGCGGAAAGAGACGATCCAAAACCATAGCGTACCTGGTTCCAGAGCACGAGATCCACTGATTTACGCGAACAGCTGTGTTTCCAAAGTGATTGGAGTGCACGCCCGTCTTGAAGAATTGAATGCTAAAGGAGTATGAAAAGACATGAAAAAAAACAAAAGGTTTTTTAAAGACTCAAGGCGGTGAAGGGCATCTCAAAATGCAAATCAATCCTAAAGGGCCTTGACAAAGTAACAGTCGCGTGAATCAAACCAGTCAGCGGCATTTCTTGCAGCTCAAGAACGGCTTGGTAATGGGATAGAACAGGATCATGGCCAGGCGGATGATGGGAGAACCAGCAGCCCCCAGGAAAAGTCCGTGCCGGGTGCAGACAGATTGAGGCACCTCAACTGCAAGCACTGTAGAAGGGATCAAAATAACACTGAATTCATGTGGTTTCGTCAGGCTTTGGAAGTCAGCAGACCTGACAAATCAAAACCACTTGATAATCTTGAACTACCTGAAATTTGTTTCAACAGTGTAGACAGTCTGGTGCCTTGTGGGAAAATAAATATAAAATAAATGATGCAATATGATCAAAGACGGTGGAGCAACTCGTCCACACTGGTGGTGTATCAAATGCCAACCCACCAAGCGCACCAAGGGCAGCACAATCTCGCAGAGAATCACAATGATTGCCGTGGTCAGCAGGAAACCAATCAAACCGCCTCGAGATCGACCAGCCCAGCTGAGAGGGAGATTAGCAGTCGACTTGTGATACCTTGTGATCAAAACACCACACACGACGAACTCTTGCGTGTGTCATTCTGTGCCAACAAGTTGAGCAAGTCCGCTCCAAAATGTCTTACGAAAAAAACAATGGCGACCTCCTCACCAAAAACAAGACAACTTGCCACTATTCTTTACTTTCATCGTGGTTCACGAGTTTTACCGCTGGAGGTCTCGAGATCGGATTGAACAAGAGCGGCTATAAGACTGCAGAATTTTCCACTGTTGTGTGGACTATGGACGTCTGAATGAAGAGGATCTGAACTGAAAGTTTCACACCAAGAGATACGGAGTCTTCAACTGCGCCAAGCCGCCAGCATAATCTGCAAGCCTTGCGATCGGGCTCTCCACGGTTGGGTGAAGAATGATGAAAACACTCTGAGAATAGACTCACTGTCTATCGTTGAGCAAAGGCAGGGACCTAAGAAATCATGCATGAATATCCACCGATATCGAGTGGATTGGATTCTGTTTTTTTACATAGTATGTGCTTGGCATACCCAATTTGGAGCTAAGAAGCAGCTGTGCCATAGCAGCATTCACTGCCGTGTTTCCAAGAAGAATTGTGCAAAGCAATAGGTTGCCCTTTTGTCGGAGCGGCAGAATCCTTCCTGGCAGAAAGAAATATCAGCACCGACGTCACGACGTGTTGAAAAATTTGCACCTTGAGATCCCATCTGATTCACTCATTCACTCTGGATGAAAAGTATATTTCCCAATGGCTGATAGTTGCCTGCCAAAAACATCATTTGCTACCTTGTTGACCAAAAATCCAACAAACGGAAACAATAACACCCAAACGTACAGATTTTGCTGCCTGGCACTATCATTAATCCGGCCAAGTTTCGTGCATACCTGGCAGAATCCATGGCTGCCTCGTCCTGGCGTTGGCAAAGCTACCATCAACTTGTAACATCAAATTATCTCATCATCCGGTCCTTGTTGGGCACATCTATCAGGACTTGCAATTGAGCCGTGTCAAGGGACATTAGCCCGATGTTCAGGCCTCAAACAAAAAATGTCAAGCAATCTGGCAATCAGTAAGTCGCAAAAGGTGTCGTGTTTCATTTGGCCAAATGCATTTTCAAGTGTCCAAATTTTAGCTGGTCGACGTTTTGTTCATTGACATTCAAGCACTCAACATCATGGGGAATGAGCAAACTACATTGCACGTTTTGGAATTGCACTCGGAAGGTTGGCCAAACAAATGTTTTTTGCACCAATAGCCTGCCTGTAAAAGTCTGCGACAAAAAGGTGAGGACAGCGATGCTGATGACGGTGAGTGCCAATTTGAGACTTTGGGTATCGGCACCAGCATCAGGCGGATCAGCGGCATTGTCCATCGAAAAACGTTATCTAGTCGCTGACCAAGTGAAATTGAAAAACATGGAATGAAAGACAAATACAAGGTGGTGTTTGGCCTGCAAACACGTCTTTGAAACAACGTTGTCCCAAATGAACTCCGCATTTGGATGGAAACGTGGGTCTAAAAAATAATAATAAAATTGCATGATTCCAGCCTATACACACACACACATGAATGTGGACCACAGTCCAGTTTTCAAGTCCACCGCCTCTTCTGGGCGAGTCAAACGGTTTGGACACTTGCCAATTGTTTGATCCAGGACTTTATCTTGAGGTGGAAAATGGTGCGGATGCATCAAAACCAACCAAACCCAACCTGCTACCCGAACGCAGGAAACAAACAGAACCAACGTGAGTGAAAACAACATAATGTGTGTCCAAAATTGCGTTATCAAAAAATGTTTCACTGCACCAGTCAGAGTCAAAATTCACACGATTTCCCACGTTTTTGGGTGGAAACATGTTCAACATGACAAAAATGAACATTTGCATTATAAAATCGTATTAGGGAAAATGGTTCCAACACATGCCTGCCAGTATTCAAAACCAACATCCAAAAATTACTTTACTTCGAATGATCCCCGCTGTGACATTATTTTGTCACAATTTCTGACATCTCATTTGGATGTATACATGGCATATAATTTTTGATATTCTAATTTGGCATTTCTATTCTGGCATTCTATTCTGTGCTGGCATCTACTTACTTATATTTAGCTGTATTTTTGTATTTTTTTTATTTTGGGCCGTCAACGAAAAATCCAACAAAAAGGAAGAAGTGCAAACGAGAATAACAAATATCTTTCACGTCTTTCTTCCTTGAACTTTGCCGCAACATAACAAGAGGGGCTTCACAATAAACAACCTTGAAGTAGAATGTAAAAGACCAACGCAAACTTAAGACTGCAACTTAGTCGCGACAAAGATATGCGACACAGTGGTCAACACCAACTTTGAGAAAAGTATCTCAAGAGCCGTGGCCACGCTTTTTCCCCCGGTAGCAGACGAGTTTTGCAAATATTTTTTTGCGTTTTGATTGAAGCAATTGGGTTAAAAACTGAAACAGACCTGTGGATGGCCGAACCAGCCACCATCCAACAAATCCGACACAGACCTTGGCTGAAACAGCCACGGTTGGAATACCAAGCCGACTTCAGCTTTGGCAAAATCATCTTTGGCCCCCTCTTTCTTAATATGCAACATGGGCGGCCCACGAGATCCCCACTTGCTGCATTTCAACTTGCGGTGCTTCTGAAACCGCTTTTCGAGCCCCAAAGTTCCAACTATCCGTATTTGGACTAAGCGCAGATCTCTTTCAGTTTGCTTGATTAAAAGGGTCCTTAGCACTACAGAGTGCACAGCTGGCTGATTCTGAGTCAGCTTTCTTGAGCTGAAACAGCCGCAGAAGGAAACGCCTTGAAATTGAAATGTGTGAGCTTTTTCCCGAATGCATAGCAAGGGTTCCCGTTTCACTCTGGGGGTCTGGGGGTTGAGGGTGTGTTCGCTCGACGTTGCGTTTGTGGTCGCAACCGTCCGCAACCGTCCGCAACCGTTCGCAACCGTTCGCAACCGTCCGTGCGAGGTCCGTATGGCCGTGCCTATGGGAAGTTTTGCAGAGGTGGTCATTTTTGGAGGTTTCAGACGTGTCGTTGCTTCGTTTCGCGTGGCAGGCGTGGCACTTCGTGACATTCAGACGTGTTCTGGAACGTGTCGAAAGTCGTTTTGCGTGGCAGGCGCAATACTTTTGCGACGTTTTCAGAAGATGTGTTGCAGTTTTCGTGGCAGGCGCAGCACTTTGGACGTGTCCATCGTTTTTCGTGGCAGGCGCAGCACTTTAGACGTGTCGCGTTGCGTGTTTTTTGCAAATCGCATTGGCAGGGCTGCGTCAAGTGGCGACAAGGTGCAAATTCCGTGGCAGGCGTGGCATTTTGTGCGATGCGTTGAAAATTGACGGAAGCCTCGCACGAAACATCGATTTTGAGGTTGCCAATTTTCGGGTTCTAAGGAAAACTCGTAGGAAAACGTCGATTTTGAAGCTACAAAGTGTGAAAATTGGAGGAAGTCTCGCACGAAATGCTCGTTTTGGCGCTCCCATGTGTCGCGTCTCGCGTCTCTGGTTTTCCGGTGGCCTCGCCGTGTCTATGGTGGAAGCTGCAAAACTTCTCCTTTTGTCATGTTGCCAACTGTGAAAATTGGAGGAAGTCTCGTACGAAATGCTCGTTTTGGTGCTCCCACGTGTCTTGTCTCGAGTCTCTGGTTTTCCTGTGGCGTCGCCGTGTCTATGGGGGAAGCTGCAAAACCTCTCCTTTTCGAAGGTTTCCAAGCAGGTTGTCATGTCGTTTTGCATGGCAGGCGTGGCACTTTGTGACATTCCAACCTGTTTGATAACGTGTCGAAAATGTCAAAATTGGAGGAAGTCTCGCACGAAATGCTCGTTTTTCTGCACCCACGTGTCTCGTCTCGAGTCTCTGGTTTTCCTGTGGCTTCGCCGTGTCTATGGGGGAAGCTGCAAAACTTCTCCTTCTCGAAGGTTTCCAAGCAGGTTGTCACGTCGTTTTGCGTAGCAGGCGTGACACTTTGTGACATTCCAACCTCTTTGCTAACGTGTCGAAAATGTCAAAATTGGAGGAAGTCTCGCACGAAATGCTCGTTTTTTTGCACCCACGTGTCTCGTCTCGAGTCTCTGGTTTTCCTGTGGCGTCGCCGTGTCTATGGGGGGAGCTCCGCACTCCACACTCTACACTTTACACTCCACACTCCACAATTTACACTTTAGACTCCACACTCCACACTTTACACTCCGTACTTTACACTTTGCACTCTACACTCCTCACTCCTCACCTGAGACTCTACACTCCACACTCCACACTTTACACTCCTCACTCCACACTTTACACTCCTCACTCCACACTCCACACTCTACACTTTACACTCTACACTCCACACTTTACATTTTACACTCCACACTCCACACTCTACACACCACACTTTCCACTTTCCACCCCACATTTCACACTCCACACTCTACACTTTATACTCCACACTCCACACTTTACACTTTACACTCGTCACTCCACACTCTACACTCCACACTCCACACTTTACACTCCACACTCCACACTCTACACTTTCTCACTCCACACTCCACACTCCACACTCCACACTTTACTGTAAACTCCACACTCCACACTTTATATTTTACACTCCCCACTCCACACTTTACACTCCACACTTTACACTCCACATTCCACACTCTACACACCACACTCTACACTTTCCACTCCAGACTCCACACACTACACTTTACGCTCCCCACTCCACACTTTACACTCCTCACTTTACACTCCACGCTCCAGACTTTACACTCATCACTCCACACTTTACACTTTACACTCCACGCTTCACACTTTCCACTCCACACACACTCCACACTCCACAATCCACACTTTACACTCCACACTCCACACTTTACACTCCTCACTCCACACTTTACACTCCACACTTTACACTCCACACTCTACACTTTACACTCCACACTTTGCACTCCACACTCCACACACTACACTTTACACTCTACACTGTACACTCTACACTCCACACTTTTTACACTCCACACTTTCCACTTTACACTCCTCCCTCCACACTTTACACTCCACACTCTACACTTTACACTTTACACTCCACACTCTACACTCCACACTTTACACTCCACGCTCCACACTCTACACACCACACTCTACACTTTCCACTCCACACTCCACACGCTACACTCCACACTCCACACTTTACACTCTACACTTTACACTCTACACTTCACACTCTACAATTTACAAACTCCACACTCCTCACTTTACACTCCACACTCCTCACTCCACACTGTACACTCCTCACTTTACACTCCACACTCCACACTTTGCACTTTACACTCCTCACTCCACACTCTACACTCCACACTCCACACTCCTTACTTCACACTCCACACTCCACACTCTACACTTTCCACTCCACACTGCAGACTGGTAACAAGGGAAACATGTACAAGACTGTTCAAATAAACGACTGCAGAAAGGTATTGTGCGTGATTGCATAACCATGTGTTTTGACATCTGTACCATTAACATACGTGTGGGCATTCGGGTTCGTGGGCTTCATCTTGTTTTAATCTTCGTTGCACTTGTTATAAATCAACTACTGTTTGCTGAACTGAGTCTACAGGGTGTCTGCAGCTGCCGCAACGCATGTTTATCCACTTTTCCACTTATCATTTTTTGCATCTCACATCCGACTCTGAAGACAGCACCCCGCCGCAGTCTATGTGGCTAAGATCCGGCCCTTTCCAGCTGATCTGACATTGGTCGATGCCGCGGTGGCATACTTGTGGCCAAAGCAGCCACCAAAAGCCGAAGCAGCTAAGTGGCCGAATACAGCTACAGTAGCCGAGACAGTTGCCGCCTCTTTGGCGTAGAGATGGTGTGGACAGTTTTCAGCCACAAGCTTCCGTGAAGTGCTTGAGCCGAGGCTCCTGAAGCGAAGCGGATCTCAGGCATGCTCCTTAAGGAGAGGACAATTCGTCCTGTCCTTAGGAAGTTCAAGGACGTCCCCGAGGCTCCTAAGGAGAGGACAACAATGGGACAAAGGCCTTTGAAAAACTCATACTTAAGAGTATTCCAGTTTCGTCCCCTTGTCGTCCTCCCCTTAGGAGGTTCAAGGACAACCCCGAAGCTCCTAAGGAGAGGACATTCCCACCCGTTGATTCGAGGTCCGTTGATTTTTTTTTGATGCTCTTAAGGAGAGGACACATATTAAGTAGCCCAGACTGTCTCCAAATCAAAGCTTTCGTTGAATCTCCCAATATTTGTGGGTAAATCGTCTCTTAGATTCAACCCATTGGTAGATTCGACCGGAAACCCAAAGTCTTTACCCTGACGCTTCAACCCACCCCAGCCAATTCCGATTTTTGCGAAAAGTCCATCGCGAC